CTTCAAGAGTGGAAAGGAACCAACGGCAGAGGTAGTCATCTGATGCGTTCACCATCAGCATGTTGTTTTGATAACGGCTGAAGTGCTCCTGGGGGTCAGAGCGGCCGTCATAGGGCTTGATGGCATTCCCTCGGTACTTCTCGGGTATTGGGGCCGAGAGCACCCTCGTGGTGAAGGGAGTTTTTGTTCTGATTTGGATGATGGGGTCACCACGTCCGTCGGCCAGCTCCCTCTCCAGGGCGCTGACCTTAAGCATGAGCGCGTGGTAACCTGGACCCTCGGATGAGTTGGTCGTAGGGATGGTGGCCGCTTGTCTAGCCTCCATCTGGGCCAGTCTCCTTTCCAGCTGGGCGATGACCTCGTCCCGAGGGTCCTTGGTGGCCGTAGTGGCACCTTGCTGGTTGCGCACGCGAGCTTCTTGAGTCGTGTTGATTCGATGATGTGCATTGTCCTCGTGCAATTTTCCTTTGCCTTTGTCGAGGCGGGGCCGATCCGCTGTCCGGGATACGGACCCCAAGCTTTCCCTTGGTGAGCCAGGCTCACGTTCACCAATCCGTCCCGCCATCCTCTCCGAAGCAGGCCGACGACGCGTGTCACCTAGCCTATTAAAGGCTGAGGCTTTTCCACGCGCTGGGGCCGGTCCAGCTCGAAGTGGGGAAGCAGGGTGGGAGTGGGATGACGACGTGTCCTGGGGCACCACCCCTTTCGTCGTTGCCCAGCCTGATGGCCAACGGGTGGGGCTGAGGAGGCGGTGTAGTGTTCTCCCCAGTCCTTGGCATGAGTGCGTTGAGGACGGTGGGGTTCTGGGCCAAGCTGGCGATGATGGCCGAGAGCGTGTCCTGAAGCTGAGGGTCAACGGCAGGAGAGGCCGGTTACGCCGAGGCATTGTCACCTTTCTCTGCACGCTTCTTGTCCAAGCCGATGCGGGCGTCAGGGGCGCCGCCGTTGAGCTTGTAGCGCAGGTCACCTGCGAGGTCGATGGCTTCCTGGAAGACATCCCCCTCGGCGGCCTTGTCGGCCGTGGCGTCCTCCTCGTGTTCCCTGTTCTCCTGATCCTCAGGGATGGCCTTGCTGACGAGGTTGCGGTTTGACCTAGTTCTTCCCATGATCAGTGGTTAGCTGTGCTTGGTAGCGACGAAGGATGCTAACTTGATTGTTCTAGCTCTCAACGAGAGCACCAAATGATAGAGTATATTCTAGAGAGAAGTGAGAGCTAGAGAGAGAAGTAGTATATTTGCTTTGTATTAGTGAATTCTGAACCCTTACAACTACTCCCAAGGGGAGTATTTATAGAGAAAATTAGGGCTGGGCTCCCAAGTCTTGGGCTTGGGAGGCCCATTTACAATAGGGCCACTAATGGGCCGGATACAAAGTGTATAGAAATGATAAGTATAAAATCCCGTTCTAGAGGCTATCTATGGATGACGAGGGCATGGCCGATGAGGTCACCCGGTTCTCCTGACTTCTTGATCATATTCTGGGTGGCCTTCTTTCTGGCCGATGAGGGCATGGCCGATGAGAGCATGGCCGATGAGGGCACCCGGTTCTCCGGGCTTCTGGATCATATTCTGAGTAGACCTTTTCCTGGCCGATGAGGGTATGGCCGATGAGAGCATGGCCGATGAGGGCATGGCCGATGAGGACACCCTGGTTCCTTGGCTTCAAGATCATATTCTGGGTTGGCCCCTCTTCGGCCGACGAGGGTCTTCTGGCCGACGAGGGCACCGCGTAGTGGCTGTGCTTTCTGTTCTGAGTATGTGGGTCCTGGGGCCTAGACCCATATACTCCATCAATCATATAATTGATCTGACCATCCCAGAGACTGTGTTCAAGCCGCCTGACATCGCACTCGCTAAGTCGAGGGATTCATCCCTTGACAACATGTCGGTCGATGATCGGATGTTCATGGAGTTTTCCAATATGGGGCCTTGTGCAGAGGGGAGGTACATGTTCGGGCAAACTCCATCCTCTTTATGGTGCAACACATTCCTGAAGGCTCCCCCCAACTTTACCAACTTTACCCATTGGTCTGACCTGGTCGAGGCAGGTCACCTTGAAGCTATCAAGGTACGAACCCTTTTATTTTTCATTGCATCTTTCAAACTTCCTTAGATCTTGTTTGATCATGGTTGTCGTTCTTACAGGCCGGAATCTACTATCATCGGGCTTTCCTGGTAGCCGAACGGGAGATGAAGCTTCTGGCACACGATCGGGACGATAGCCAGACCCTTCTAAATGTTGCCCGTAAGCTGGTCACGGATTTGCAGGACCGTACCAGCAAGGGTGATAAAGCAATAGCTGAGCTGGCTGAGATGGAGGAGAGGATCCGCTGTAGCGACCAGACAATCAAGGATCTTAAGGCCAAGGTGAATGTGGCCGAAACGGTTGGGATGAAGTTTGCGAAGGCGGAGGGAGAAAATCCCCCTGCTCCGTACACGGCCGATGTCTCCAAGATCACCAAACAAGCGGTGATTGACTTTCAACGAGGGAAAGTGCTGAATGTTGCCCCGGAAGAAACCGCTCGGCAGTTTTTGGGGCCTCATCTCGGTCAGTTCCTGCGTGCCAGCGAGGATCCTATGGATGGCACGCCAGAAGGGAAAGCTTTCTTAGATGTGTTGACCGAGAAGACGGTGAAGCAAAGTCAAGATCTGCTCGTTGATAGGAATCTTGATCTGATCATGGAGCATTTCCCCAAGCCGTTCGATCCTGATGAGGCTGGGATCATGTGGGTAAGATCTCCTCGCCCGCCCGAGTTCGTCCATTCGCCTCCGGTTGGTTTAGTAGAGGTCGGAGTTCGTGACCTCATGCTTTCGTGTAACTACATAGAGAGGTCCCTGGTGTGCTCGGATAATAATCTAACCATTTTTCAATGTTGGTGTAGCTTAGAGTTGTAGAGTGTTGTCTAGCTTGGTTGGGAGATATTTGTTCACTTTCTCACATATGGAGCCCGTGTTGAGGTTTATTCCTCTCGATCTAAGGGCCCAACACTCACCCTTGTGCTTTCATTGTATTTTAATGGATCAAGTGTGTTTGGTTAGCTATCTTCGTAGTATTGAGACACAAAGAATAGCAAGAAAGAGTAGGAAGGTAAAGTAGGTCAAGTTTTATTTATTGAGCCGAGCCCTTAGCCTCTATTTTAAGTTGTGAGAATACAAAAGAGGTAGAGAGAGAAGTTAATGTTATTGAATACAAGTTGCCAACTCTTTACTATGAAAAGAATGCTACTATGTGGTAGATGGCGGTGGTGACATGGTGAGCCATGTGTGGTTAGCCCCGAACCATAAAATATTCCATATCTGGTGAATTAAATGCACTTCCCGTCTAATCCTTGTTTTCCTACCAATTCCTATAGGGCAGCAAGCTAGAACCCATTCAAAATTGTCTAGGCGATTTGTTCAAGGTTTCTATGCCGTGCAGCACACGTCGTGTGAGTGGTGTAGCTCGGACATGGGGCTTTCTGGACTCGTTTGCTCGCATGGGTATTAAGCCTACCCCGTGTTGGGACAATTACTCCAAAGTTGTAATTATTATAAGTATTGTTGGGATATTAGGCCCCAACCTAACATATAATTGTGATATGAGAATAATAAAATTATGATATGAGAATAATAAAACAGAGAATAAGAAACATGTAGATTTTTAATTGTTTTATTTTTCAATTTCGAATTTTAAATTTATTAGTTATCTTTGATTTTTTAAATTTATTTTATTTATTTAAAAAGTCAATAAAACTAAATTTGCTCTTTTATAAGAACATAAAGAGTGTCATCGAAAAGTTTAGACTTAAGGGTTGTCTCATATTAATTCACTGCCACTTCGCAATCGAAGAGTTTAGCGTTGGCTATGCCCTTCACTATTTCAACAATTCTGTGTTAACGCTATGAGCAGCGTAAAAGTAGTCTTCTCCCTAGCTTTCGTCTAGGTCAGGTTTGTCTTTCCGACGGGCGATTGCGTCATTTCTTGTCCGGCAAATGATTTGGAACGACAATGAGATGACGATTGTTACCACACTCTGCCTCTTCATGGTCTACTTCTCTATATATGGTTGATGTTTCCGTATGTGATGCAATGGATCAAATCTGGAGGTCTGTGATCGATACCTTCGATTGGAAAATCGTCTCGCAGTTTCTGGATCGAATTCTGAGCAAGGGAGAAGACAGATCGGTGGTCCACCCCCCACCTGAACCGCCGCCCTGGAGTGAATGAGGTGCTAGGGTTTGGAAGGTGATACTTCAAGAATACTGGAAGGAAGAAACTTGGAGTGTTTGTCAATTATTTTATTTTTTATGGTCTTACTTTCGCGTTAAAATTGTTTATGTTACTCTATTTTTTGTTGATGTCTTTAGTTTTAATTCTACAATAATGATTGACAATTCTGCTAGATATTATGTCGTTAGAAGGATCTATATGGCCAGTGATTGTTGTGTCACACTCGTTTGGTGGTTAGTGATTTGCATTGCTCTTTTTGGAGTGATCTTTTCTAAGTTTAGTCGTAGGGTTGATAGTGCTAGTTGATTACGGATAGTAGTTGTCCGTGTTGGTCTCTTTGAGTTTGGTTTAACGAGCTGACTTCTAATGATATTAATATAAGCGGTTTTTTCTTTCAAAACAAAGAACATAAAGAGTAATTTTTTCACATTTTAGAAGTTCAGAGATATATGTACACCTCCACACGTATTCTAGGGATATATTTGTATTTTTGTTTTAATTTTAAGTATCTATTTGAAGGAAGATTTCACAAAATATGACTAAATAGAGTTTGGAATTCCAAAATATGACTGATGTGTTTTTCTTCTCAAAATAGAACTAAAAGGAGTATTTATTGTCATCTTTTAGTCATGAGTGCCAAATAATTGTAATACTATGCACTTTAAAATGGTAGTATTTATTATAATCAATGACAATATTTTTAATGATGACAAGATTTTTCAATAATGACAGAAATGAATCTTATTTGGGAAAGAAAAATATAGTGATCTTTTGTTAGAATTTTCAAAGTTGTTTATTCCTGCTAGAAATTTCTCCTCTTTGAAACATAAACTTGTTAGATATCACAAATTTGAATCTCATAATATAGCCGTTAAATCCTATTGTGTCTAAACAATGACTCCATTCATACAAACCGTCATTTCAAAATCAAAACCCTAAGTTTCACCCCTCGTAGTTCTGCTGACGAGTTCAGAAATTAGAGACGGTGGTATGGATGAGGAATCAAAGAAGAACCCAAATGACACAAAAACTGTAAACACGAACCCTATGTTTAGCCCAGGCTTCCGATCCGTGGCAGAGATGGCTGGCTGGGACGAAGAGGCGCTTCTGAATGCAGTGGTGCAAGACACTCCCGACCGAATTCTCGAACACCTGAAACGCTCCGGAATCCTTAATTTGACCACTCCACCTACAAATTCAAGAAGGTATAGTTATACAACACATCTCTGTGTAAAAATATAGATTGGAGTTCGCCCTTTCTTGAATGAGCTTGGCAAACTTTTTGTGTTTCCAGGAAAAGGCTGGCTCAGATGAGGAGTCCAATATCTGCAACTGTTCTTAATCTCGATGAAGCAGAATGCGAGAAAGTGGAGACCGATTCGGAGTGTGGGGGCGGCAAACATGAAGTTAATGAGGCAAAGGACAAGGACTCGAGTGACCACCCATCATTATCGTTGCCCGTCGGTAGTTTAACAGAGGCGTCTGCACCAATCCCTTGCATGGAGAAACTTCGTGAAGAACTTTCATGTGCTGTTAGTGTCACCCATAGTTTTTCATATGTTTAATGCACTCCATTTGGATTTATATAAGAAAGACTAAACGGTGTAATTTTGCAGATCTGTTTAGAGATTTGTTATGAACCAAGTACCACTCCTTGTGGACACAGGTATGATCTGACATTCTAAAGTCACTTTTTCAAATTCGAGTTGTTTTACTTGAAGCTGATATATTCATTGGTTTTTTTTATTGGTCAATTGCATTGAATTGTTTGCAGTTTTTGTAAAAAGTGTTTGCGATCTGCTGCTGAAAAATGTGGGAAGAAATGCCCTAAGTGCAGGCACCAGCTTCTTAGGTAGGACTAGTTTGTTTAATTAATTAATTACTCTCCTCCAACAATTAAGTTCCTACTTTGGATATGTTTGAGTGTTGACAAAAACAATTTTCCACTTTGACTCGGACACATTTTAGTGCAAAGTTAAAGTGATAGTTGACTTTCTGATTATACTCCTACTTTTTGTCAAATCAAATAAAAAATAAGTACTTCGTAAAAATTAAGGGTAGGTTTAATATTTGATATTGAAAATTTAATTTTTATGGAAATGAGAAGTTTAATTTGAGGCACCCAAATAAGGAAAGTGGGATGTTGTTTTGGGAACCGAGGTACTAATAATAAAATAATCCTATGAAGTGTGGATGGTGGTAGGCTGGTGCCTGGTAGTATGCATCTGGATGGATGACTAATCCTACACATATCCAAATCATGATGACCTTTTTTACTGCAGCAACTCAAGAGGTTGCACTGTAAATACTGTTCTCTGGAATACAATTAAGTTGTTATTTCCTCAAGAAGTGGAAGCAAGGAAGGCTGCTGCCCTTGAAGGCAGTAGAACTGGGAAACAAACTCCAGTCTTGGACATAATAAATAGTCCCCCAGATCCTGAGCAGCAGCAACTAGGAGGAAGCCTGGAAAGAATAAATTCCCATGGTGCACGAAGAAGGAATGCCAGGCTTTCTGGTGATTTTGTGAGGATTGTAAGGTCAAGAAGGGAGCTTCCAAGCCAGGATGAGGATGCGGCAATGGCATTGAGATTGCAGAGAGAAGAGTTCATGGGGGCTTTCTGCAGGGACTCTCAGGTAGTGCACAGATCGAATTCAAATGGTTCTGAAGAACGGCGCAGGAACTCTATTGCAGTAGTTAGAGCTAATCTGAGAGCAATGGCTTCAAGAGCAGTTAGTATTCGTTCTGCAAGTCGACGAGGGATATAAACTGTTCATATTAGTATTTCATACCAGAAGCAGAAGCCAACGTGTTGTATTGTACCATTTTATACAACTACTTACTAGTTAGTAGTGAGTTATAACAAGTTCAACTCTTGTTTATGGAATGCTCTCATGTTTCACTGTTCCAGGTTTACAATCCTCACTTTGATGGTGGGTTCATCAATCCTCACTTTGATAGCAGGTTCATCCTCATGTTTATACCGGCTTGATGGAACTTATGTCTTAACAGTCAATCCTCACTTTGATGGTGGGTTCATCATTCTGTATTGGATGGTTTTATTAGTGGTCATTATTATATCTTGGATCTTCCAATGGTTTTCGGACTTGATGGAACCTTTGAGACTTTGAGAGTGTTTTGTTTAAAAAATTGTGTGATTCAAAGGGTTGCAGAATTGTCTGACTTCATTATGGTGTTAAGCTCCAGCAGTTTTCGAAGGGGCCGTGCTTATTATTAGGCTCCATCATTGGTTTTTGGCTTTGATTGATCTGGTTTCCATTGCTGTGATCCATTCATACATACACATGCCATATATATGTAATAGTAATATACTCCGTGTAACTTTTACAATATATACATATATAAATGTATATATTAATTAATACTACGTACAAAATATGGAGTAAATATTATTATTGAAAAGAAAGACTACTTCTACTAAAAAAGTAAAAAAAAAAATCAGTAGAGAAGTAGCAGAGCAGTAGAGGTTCTTTAAACGAGCTTGTTGTCGAGTTCGAATAGTTCTTATAATCGCCTCATTGTGCCTTCTATTTTTGTTAAAGAACTATTGTAAATCCCTCGCTTGAGAGGATGCAATATTCTTTTGGTTTTCCAAATGTAATTTTATATGAGTAGGTTTTAGTCTCATTGTAAATTTGCTAAACTTCTCACATCTCTAATTCCTTATTTCATTTCTACTCCCAAGCTTTCTTTGCTTATTTGAACTGTGAAGTGCAGTGACAAGTAAATGTTGAGATTTGGAGTTGACACATCTGGAAATTCATATACCCTTTTTTAATCTTTATCAAATCTCATTGACAAGTAAATGAGTAAATTTACTGACATGGAAATTTATTGGCAAGTAAATTTTATATGAGTAGGTTTTAGTCTCATTGTAAATTTGCTAAACTTCTCACATCTCTAATTCCTTATTTCATTTCTACTCCCAAGCTTTCTTCGCTTATTTGAACTGTGAAGTGCAATGACAAGTAAATGTCGACATTTGGAGTTGACACATATGGAAATTCATATACCTTTTTTAATCTTTATCAAATCTACTCGTTTGGAAATGCATTAAACCCAACCAATTAACAATTGAGATTTTATTCTACAAGCAACCCTTTATAAAGGATGACACTCTAGAGTCGACCGAATGGTTATTTGAAAGAATGTAAATTGAGCTTGCAGTTGAACTTATGACATCTCCTTTGTAGAAGGCTGGCACCCTTTTTGTATCGGGTGAACTGGTGAACTATGCCCTCACAAAAATAAACTTTTATAGAATATATGAGTAGCCCTGACCTTTAATTTATAGAGTGAGTAGCCTCTATCTTTATACACTAATTGTATCATTATGTTTGTCCAATATTGGCTCATTTAAGGGTCTATAGCATAGTTTCATACACACTACTATACAGTTCTTATCTACCAGTATATTTTACTATTAAGAAATAATAATTTCCCTCACTAGAAATATTATATTCCAAACGTAGTGTGGACTAAGTTCATAATTTTTCACACTACTGGTTCATAATAAGTTCATAATTTTTCACACTAGTGGTTCACATTTACAACATAGTTTCTCACACTACTAACGTAGTATGGACTAAGTTCATAATTTTTCTCGAAATAAAACTTATTTAGTCCTCATAATAGAATAATAAAATTTAATTTTTTGAAGAGTTAATGAGTTCGATTTTGAAAGAAAAAAAATAATTAATAAGCCCGTCCACTACTCAATGTGTTACATGCTCTATCGTCTCGCAAAGAAATTTTCCGCATTGACTTACACCAATATATATTTATGTACATAAGATAGTATTTTACTTTAATTTTCAGGAAGGAATGAGTTTTTTAATCTTATTTAATTCAGTAATTTTCTGTACCATTCTAATACACTAACTGACCTGCATTTGAGTAAGTAGGTGAGACTTTTGCACGGCAAACATTGTTGCATTTATTTGATTTTAAAAACTTGTGGTCAAACCTGTGAGCACGTCAAACAAATTAAGGATCATCCCATTATCATCACCAATTATTGGTCAACGTAAGTACCTGGTCTGGGGGCTATCAAAGTCAGACACGGCGGAAAACAATGGACATGAAAGCCAATAGAATCCGGCGCCCCTTGTCACACCTTGACTCGACAGAATAGTGGAAAAATAAATCACAATATGATATCAAATAATCTCGAAGCGATATGATATAAAGCCTTGCACGCGTAAGCAAATTAAGGAGCCGCAAATGAAAATCTCGCATGCACTAATGTTATCGGGGATTTTAATTTGTTTTTTCTTGTAAAAAGAAGTAATATTGCTTCTTAAACACCGTTATTACAAATTGAAATAATATGAAAATATCTTAAATAAAAAAATAAGTTCTTTAATAATCATAAGTTACAAACTTTCAGTTTCCTATAAGTAGTTGAAAGCTTGTAGAAAAACTTGTTCCCAAAACAGTAAAACGTTCCTAGCATGATCAAATTCTTAAAGGCAATTAAATCTTCCAAAAAATAAAAGGTGATGTGTAGGTCCATCAACAACCTGCACTGTACAAGTAAGAATTGTTGACGAAAAAGAGAACAAATAAGTTGTTGCAAATATAATGCCTAGCTTTAATGCACGAGTTTTTGTCCCGCAATGGGAATTATTGTATATTGATAATTTGATATATACTCTGTATAACTGTATAAGCTAATGTATAATACTAACTCCGTCAATTCATTTGCAAATTTGACTTTTCTTGGTCAAACAGTTTCATTTTATTTGCCTAATTAGGATGTCAATTTTTTATTATATTCTAATTTGGAGTTTACAAATTTGAAGAGATTTTAATATAGTTTCTAAATATATAAATTTTAAATATTAAAAATTGAATTAATTATCGATAGGTAGCATTGACTTTTTTTATTGGTTGACCAAAAAATATTGAATTTGCAAAACAATTTGGGACGGGTCACAGGTGGAATATGTAACATTGATATATATAATATGTAACAATGTTCCAAATTGATTTGAGAAGTCGGCATTTTTATCAACCAATGTTAAAATTAAATCCCCCTGTTAAAATTTATATCTTCAAAAACTACATTAAAACCTCTAAAAAGTTAGAAATTTCAAATTAGAATATTATTAAAAATTGATATCCTAATTAAGTGAATAAATGAAATCTTTTGCCCAAAAAAATTGACTTTGCAAATCAATTTGGAACGGAAATAATAAATTTTAATGTTCAAATGCTACAAAATAAAAAGGTGTTTTTTCTTTGATATTTTTGGTAGACTAGGTACAATTGCTATCAGGTAGTTAAAAGTGATATGACAATTTTAATGCTTAACTCCCTTGAGATAAATGAATTTGGATCCTCTCCAGTGACTGGAGAGTTCCAGTGGGAGAGAGATAGAGAGGAGGGGATTTTAGGTGGGGTATGTAGATGAGTAAGATAGAGAAAAAGGTAGAGAGAGATAGGAAGAAAAAAAGAAATGGATGGGAAATGGAGAAAAAAAATGGAGAGGATCTGCACCCGAGATAAATGTTGCTCCAAAAGTTAGTGATGTTCAGAATGCATCTTTAGTTCGAAACATTACTGAGGCGGAGGTGAGAGCAGCGGCTTTTAACATGCACCCAGACAACGCCCCAAGGCCGGATGGGCTAAACCCGGGATTTTTCCAGGCTTTTTGGGATGTGGTAGGCCCAACCGCCCAACGATGGTGGACTATTGTATTACTCTTTTTAATACAGGGAGTGTGCCTGCGGACTATAATGACACTATTATAGTGCTGATACCAAAGAAGGAAAATCATGTGGCAATGGGGGATTGGAGGCCGATTGCTTTATGCAATGTTGTGTATAAAATTTTTGTGAAAGTTTTAGCTAATCGGCTAAAAGGTCTATTAGATGGATTAATTGTGGAAAATCAAAGTGCATTTATTCCTGGCAGATATATCATAGACAACATTATTGTTGCGTATGAAATCCAACACTTCTTGAAGAGGAAGACTCAGGGCAGGGAGGGATATGTAGCATTAAAAGTTGACATGAGCAAAACATGTGATCGAGTGGAGTGGAATTTCTTGAAACATATCATGGAATGTGTCGATTTCAGTCCTCGATGGACAAATTTAATTATGCAGTGTGTGGAAACAGTCCAATACCATGTTCAGGTTAACGGTGAACTTTTTGGACCGATTATTCCGACTCGAGGGTTAAGGCAGGGGGACCCGCTATCTCCTTATCCTTTTATCATGGTGGCAGAAGGAATAAGTGCTCTTATAAGGGCAAAGGAGTAGGAAGGGCTATTACCAGGAATCCGAGTGGCACGTGGGGCACCACTGGTGTCTCATCTTTTATTTGTTGATGATAGTTTATTTTTCTGCATGGCAAATGAAAGGGATTGCTTAATTATTAAGGAGATTTTAGCTCAGTATGGTTCCTTTTCAGGTCAGCTGATCAATTTTGAGAAATCAAGTGTGCGTGTTAGCGCAAATGTGGCGTGGGATGATCGGGTGGAGGTAAGTACCTGGGACTCCCGTCAATGGTTGGAAGAAATAAAAAAGAAATTTTTGGTTACACTAAAGAAAAGGTTGTTCAAAGAATTCAGAGCTGGAATAGCAAATTTCTTTCTAAAGCTCGAAGGGAAGTTTTATTAAAAACAGTTATACAAGTGATGCCCCAGTATATGCTATGAATGTTTTCTTACTAGCAGAGGATTTATGCACCGATATAGAAAGAACTATGAACGCATATTGGTGGAGAGGACATGCGTACAAAGACAAAGGCATTAAGTGGGAAACTTGGGACGATCTTTGTATTCCGAAACTCCATGGAGGCATGGGCTTTAGAAAACTGAGAGATTTTAATATTTCTACGTTGGGAAAGCAGGTCTGGAGACTTTTTTAAAACCCGAATACTTTGGCAGCTAACTTTTTAAAAGCAAAATATTTTCCCCATGGAGATATATTGGAGGCAAAGTGTGGAAGTAACTCGTCCCTTATTACAGCTGCGATACTGGCGGTCCGTGAGAGAATTTGTTTTTGAATAGGGAAGGGCAATTTGGCAAGGGCGTGGAAGGACAATTGGCTTCATGATCAGGCAGGTTGTCGGCTGGCGGGGAACGTGGTGGTGGGGTTGGAAGACATTAAGGTCGGCTCACTCATGCTTAATGATGGATCCAGCTGGGATATTGATCTATTGGGGGATCTTTTTGAAAAGAATGATAGAGACCCTATAGTAAGCATTCTGGTGCGACAGGAGAAGGGAAATGATGAGTTGATTTGGGCTGATGATTCTAAGGGTTTGTATAGTGTTCGAAGTTGCTATAGGAGATTAAAACGTAACACTCTACCGACGATGGGTTGGGCGAAAATGTGGAATTTAGAGTTGCCACCAAAAGTAAAAATCTTCTTTTGGCAAGCTTCTAATGATTGTTTACCATGCAAACAGCGTTTAGTACAATGGAGGGTGCTGGTATGGTCGCGGTGTTCAACATGCGGTCATGAAGAAGAGAGCTCCATGCACATTTTACGGGACTGCACTTTGGCTAAAGCAGTGGGGCGGAGTAGGGGTTGGAAATTTTTTCAACTGGCAGCGGCTAATTTTGGTGAGTGGGCAAGTAAGGTGGCAGAAAGTGGATCTAAGGAGAAGTTCGGCCAGTTTATTATGACTA